CACCATTTGTCAGCATCAACACTGGGGGGGCAGTGTAGGGAAGCACAGGACAGACCACCATCTGTCAGCATCAGCACTGGGGAGGCAGTGCAGGAAAGCACAGGATAGACCACCATCTGTCAGCATCAACACTGGGGGGGGCAGTGTAGGGAGCAGAGAGAACACCAACTCTGGAGCCAGAAGATGTGCATTAGTGCCTGTGATATTGATAAGAAGATGCTTAGTACCTGTGATATTGGACAAGTTATTTAGCCTCCCTAGGGCTCTGATTTCTTCATCTATAAAAGGAGAAGGCAGGACTAGGAGGCTTGATGTCCCTTCCAGCTCTAAAATTACTCTGGCCTCAGAGGGGATTTTTGTTTGGGTATTTTCAGGAAGGCTTCTTCCAACGCCATGGTTCTGGGAGTCTAGTGATTATCTGGCCCAGTCTCCATTGTTTTACCTTTCTCCACTAGACCCAAACTGCTATCCCCTTCATGCAGGAATCCTGATTAAAAGGCTTCATTGAATTCATCATCCTCATCATTGTTATCATTTATACAGCACTTTACAGTGTGCAAAGCATCTTACAAATATCATCCCATTTTATTCTTATAACTACCCTAGTTTGTCGTGGTTGTTTTGAGTCACTTCAGTCATGTTTGATTCCTCGTGGCCCCATTTGGGGTTTCCTTGGCCAAGATGCTGGAGTGGTTTGCTACTTCCTTCTCCAGCTCATTGTGCAGATGAAGAACTGAGGCATATAGGATTAAGTGACTTGCCCAAGGTCAGACAGCTATAAGTATCAAGTGTCTGAGGCCATATTTGAACTCAGGTGTTCCTGACTCCAGGGGCTGTGATCTATTCACCGGGACATCTAACTGCCCTGTTAATTTCCATTTTAAAAAAAAGTTTCCTCAGTCTGAATCTTTAATTCCAGGTTTCTTAACTTGGGCTCTGTGAACTTTAAAAAAAATATGTGTTTCAATAACTGTATTGGTTTCCTTTGTAATTGATGAATGGACAAGGGAACTCTTTTCCTTTCAGGGGCTTTCACAGAAAGATCAGGGTTCCTTCCCCTGAATACCCTACTTTCTGAAAAGTCATAGAGAGGAAACATGAGCTTTACAAAGTTGTGAGCTCAGGGTAGAGCCAGGTGAATGATAATTGCATTGGAAAATCAGGCTACAGAAAGCCAGCTAACTGCTGATAATTCAAAGTGGATACATACACTAATTAATAGATCAGCATGTGTATATATTGAATATCTGCTATATGTTAAACACTGTACAAGACATTGGTGGATCCCTGCCACCCCACCTAGGAACTACAATGATTTTAGATTTTTTTAAACCGAAAAGGGGAGGGTAGGAACCAAACTGCCTAACTATAAATTGATCTTACCAAGTGTATAAAAAACTCAGCAGTTCCTTTGCTGTTGCTACTGCTGCTGCTACTACTACTACTACTACTACTACTACTACTATTATGCTGCTGTTGCTACTACTACTACTAGACTGCTGCTGCTACTGCTACTACTACTACTGCTACTGTGCTGCTGCTGCTACTACTACTATTACTATGCTACTACTGCTACTGCTGCTACTCCTGTGCTGCCCCTGCTGCTCTGAACAACCCTGTTATGTATTCTTACTGATCCCCCTTTTGGGTGCCCTTCTCCAAGTGTGCCAAACCTCTTTCCTCTTCAAACTTGTCATTGTTTCCTCGATGCCCCCATTTTCAGCAGATGACAGTTTCTGGTTTTATTGAAAAGGTTGAGGCTGTCTGATATGAGCTCTTCGATTCTCTGTTCCTCAAAACCTGTTTGTATCATGACCCTCTTTCTTTCCCTTTTCTTCTGATCACAGATCTAACTTAAGGCTCCCTCCTCTAGGACCTTACTCTAGATCTTGCCTCTATCTCTCTGTCTGTCTGTCTGTCTCTGTCTGTGTGTGTGTGTGTGTTTCTCTCCCTCCCTCCCTCTCTCTCTCTTTCTCTTTCTCTCTTTCTTATGCAGCCTCAATCTCTCCTTCTGTTTCTCCTTAACTTTCCACAAACATTCCTCATCTGCCCAAACCAAAACCAGTGCCTTCCCTTGATCCTCTTCTCAATTTACCTCCTGGCATG